GAGAGACTTCAAAGCCAGACTTGCCGGTAATTTGCTGACCTCTTGGTTTGGGACCTGGGTTTCAGCTCTGCAGACAGGGCATCGGAGCATCTGGTCGTTACCATTGCATCCCAAGAGGTTTTCCAGACAGGCCTTGCAGTAGGTGTGAGAACAAGACAGGATCTTGGGATCGGTGAAGGTATTCAAACAAACAGGACACTCCAGACTTTGAGCAATAACATTCTTTAATGTGTCAGCCATGGTTCGAATTCTACAGGAATACGAGATGAAAGAAAAGGGGAAAAATGATTAGTGGAGCTTTGATTCATCTGATCATATTGAAGGGGAGGGTTTATCATTTTTCTCACGCCTTTTTCCTACAGAATATAACTCGTACAAAATATGATTTTCCGTTATAATTATGTTGATTTAAAAAAAAATCATGTTATTCATCAACTGAATGTACTTTGTACGTCGTAATGAAAAAATGAATTTAAAAATCAAACTCATCAGTACACATACTGTTTTCACTGCAATCTTAATACCCCGTCTTTAGCCAACCTACCATGATAATGTGCCTTTAAACATTTACAGAGTTTTTTCCTATCGGGTACTAATTCACTATACACATTAGATGGGTGGAGAGTGTCCAATGTAGAGGACTGTCTTGCCAAAGGACATTAGTGCAGTGGTGGCCGGGACTCGAACCGCGTGATTCACAAACAAGTAACCTATCCTTTAGAATAGACCACAGCACCTCTACATGTTTCACAACTAATGCATGCTAGTAAATTATTTTGCGAAAATTTGACGTATATGAAATTATAGAAATTATAATAATTTTCCATCACTCGAAGCCGATGGTTAAAAGTAAACCTTGGAAAACAAAACAAAGGTTTAAAAACGTAAGTCTTAGAAATGTAGTCTTCCATTCACATTTCATCACTTTGGCATTGGAAAAATAATCATGACATTACTTCTTAATTAATCTAAAGTTTCTAAACCAAGTATTAGAAACTTGTGACGTACAGTGTATCAAAAGCAGTACTGTACTCATGCACACTGGAATATTTACTATTTCATAAAAATCATCATGTTGTAAAGAGGAAATAGATTGCTCTGGCTTGGCAGAATCCCTAGCTGAAATGTTAGCTATATATTAAGAATCACATACTAACGTGAACATTAACCATGTGCATTCATTTTTTAACTTGTAATTTAAATCACTGTAACGTACCAAAATCGTCGTTTTCCACCGGACAAAGGAACAGTAAGAAGTTATACTTGATTTGTCTTGGCCTTAGCACAATCGCTCTTCAGTAATTTTATCTAAGACATCTAGCTAGACCGCGAGACCCACCTATTTCAGCAAAAGGAAAATGATGATTTTAGGAATCAGTAAACATGTATACTCTTTGCAATGTATTGGTAACTGTTCATTAGTGGTGCTATATACATGACAGATATGTATTCAGTCTCTCGATCTATTTTTAGGAACTGGGAATTCCCAGCAAGCTTTGACAGTCAAGCACATTGAGATTGTTATCGTCCAAAAAGTGTTCGCCCAATAAAAGCTCGATCTCATTTTGTCGAGCGTCTGTCTAGCAAATAAATACCAGTGTGAAATATATTACTGTTACCCCCCCCCCACCATAACAAAAGATTCTAAATTTCGAATCAAATTACTGTTGCCAAAGTCTCGTGGAGCGGTCCTCCATCGAGATTACAGTTAGAATGTTGGAGATGGCGCTAAACATGCTAAACACATCCGGAAAGTAGAAAATTAAAGAAGATGTTCAATCTTATAACTTTACCTTTATTGCACTTACCATCGTCTGGTAGAGAGGGCTAAGACTTTGTTCGATCAATTATAGTTTGGAGTTGTTTAGGGGCTATTTTGCCTTAATACCATAGGCCTACAGGACAGGGGTCTAAGGGGACTGCAGCCCCCCCCCCCTTCTCCACAATTTTTAAAATGACAGATAAAATATTCGGGGACTTGCAACCACCACCCGATTAAAACACCCTAGTATCTTATTTATTTTGTTTCTATCGCTTAGAGACATTTGTATTAAGCGCTATATAAAAAATAAATATTTTTCAATTTTTTTTAAATCTTTTTTTTGTCCTGATGTGAATAAAATACTGCAATTCAATACAATCAAAGTAACATTTATTACCTTTCATGCTTTCATTAGTTTTCATGTATACTGCTTAATAATAACCAAATGTTAAAATACAACAGTCAGCATTGCATAATTATCTTTGTGGATAGCAATTTTAGTTCCCCTAAATTCTTCAGATGGTTAAAGTTAGGCCCGTCGGAAGGAATTCTAAAGTGGTACGGTTTTTAGTGGGGGTCGGGTTCGAAGGGGCAGAGCCCCTCGGGGGGGGGGGGGCAGGGGGGAGGGGGGGGGGGGGCAGAAGAAAAAAATCCCCATCACCACTACTTTTACATGTTACACTGGCATGCAGGCCGTTTTCAAAGTGGGGGGGGGGGGGCTAAAGTATTTACGAGCAGGTAGACCGTAGCGAGCGAAGTGAGTGGAGCATAAATTGACGTTGGGTTACAGGGGCAAAGGGGGTCAGATGAAGCATATATTGATAACTTATTTGTGGCACTGGCAGGTCACTAATCGGCTTGGGTCCAGAGGCTGAGCCCCCGAAACCTCAGGGGTTTTAAGCGTTAAATTACGGTCAGATGAGTATCCAGGGGCCCGCCTTAGGCCCCTCGGTGGGCTCCAGGGGGCAGTGCCCCGAGAAGCTCAGGGGTTTTGGGCATTTAATCACGGTCAGATGAGGCATATTTTGATAACTTATTTTGTGCAACTGGCAGGTCATTAATTCGATTTAGGTCCAGGAGGCGGAGCCCCCAGAAGCTCAGGGGTTTTTAAGAATTAAATTACGGTCAGATGAGCATCCAGGGGCCCGCCTTTGGGTCCCTCGTGAGGTCCAGGGGTGCAGATTCAGGGTTTTAGGCGTTGAGCATATTTGTTTACCTCATTTAATTATGACACTGGCAGGTCACTATTCTTTCTTTCTGTCTCTTTCTTTCTATTTCTCTTTAACCTACTTTTTAAAAAAAGTGAGGGGAACTCTAGCCCCCCTCCCCGAGCCCTGCCTTTCCGCCGGCCCTCACATGTAGGTTCTTAAATAAGCATATTATTGCCTAAATGTAAATTTAGGAATTTATAATTTTCCAACAAACGCATAAAGTATAATTACTAAAACGAGAAATAAATAAAATCCCGGGAAATCATGTCATTTCATGCAGCAACCCCCCCCCCCCCGGCCCACCCCCTGGATCCACCCTGACCTTATAAAATAATTACATGAGTCAAAGAGACCCGCAAAAATGTCGTAGGCACTGGTTGTCCCATGAACTTACCAGAGAAGGGCGGGAAGGATGGGGTTCACATGATCGTGTCCTATAGGCCTACGTTGCCGGAATTGAAAAATAAATTGATGAATCCTGAATTATGTTTTCTTAAAGAAGTCTGAATTCCAGAGTTAAATCTTTAAACTCAAATAATCATATAGTATCATATATAACAGGAAGGAGTAGATTTGGAGCACATTCTATTTTAGGAGGTAATCTGAGATATCTGGATAGCAGATATTCTTTAGAGTATATATACAAACCTAAAAGCAAGATGGAATATATTATGCGGTGAAATGTGGTGAAATAAGAGAATTGATCTGTATAAGGGATAACAGAGATTGTACAACACAATCTGAATGTAATCGAGAAGGCTTGACTCCAACTTTAATTTATCTTAATATACGGAGTAAAGCATAATTTGTTGATTAACGTTCTATTACAACCGGGAGGTCGTGGGTTCGAACCCCGGCCGCGTCATACCAAAAGACGTTAAAAGATGGGAGTTGTTGCTACCTTGTTTGGCGTTCAGCAATAAGGGATAGAGCAAGGTCAATCTGGCGCTGCTCAGTGGCTGCCGGGCTCACGATCAATTGGGCAAAAAGAATTTCCGTTTCCGTTTAATAAAATTTGGAGTGAACTATTAGGCTATTATTATTATTATTATTATTATTATTATTATTATTATTATTATTATTATTATTATTATTATTATTATTATTATTATTATATCTTCTTCGATGTTGTATAAAACAAATAATGAAAGTTTTTCATTCGTTCAATAGAATGTTAATCTTTCAATGCATGAAAATATTCGCACTATTGAACTGATAACCATTCATTATTTGTAAATTATACAACACCTATGTGGATCCTTGTCATTTGATTCATGAAAATATTCGCACTATTGAACTCATAACCATTCATTATTTGTATAATATTCATTCCTAAGTTCTCAAGAATGTAATGATTGTATTATTTATCTTTGTCTACATTTGATTGACAGATATGGAATACTGTCAGGGAGAAGGCATTTTAAAAGATAGAATTGTTAGGGAGTGTTGCTTTTGATGGTTTCTGTTTTGTAAATAGTTAAGATTTATTTTGCTTTTGTATAGACCAATACCAAGCCACTCCTTCTCTTTTATCAAGAACATTTCTTAAACTAAGTGAAGAATACTGCAAGCAAAGGCGGCAATTCCAGGGGACTGGTGGACATATCCCCTGAATTTTTTTTTTAGGGGATCACCCCCTATTCTTTCTTAAATTTGAGACAGAATCGAACAAAATAATTTTATTCATCGGTCGCTACGTTCCCCCGCATAATAAGGCCAGATGCTATCTTCTTTTGTTAAGGGTTGGAAAGTTGTCTGCATCGGGAACTTCTCCCTTGCCCCCTGAAATACACTGGTGCCTATACGTGTGAAAACAAAAAGATTTTTGATGGGTTAAAGTCCGACGTCGTACGTGCGATAAGTGCGAGGCTGGAACGAATATAATTTTGACCTTCAATCCTGTGTTTAAACGGTTCGCTTAACATTGACATAATGATTAATTGCTATTATCACGATCCACATTAATAGTTTACCTGGGAAATAGAAAGTTGTATACGGTGTTTTATACATTGAGATCCGACAACACTATGTTCTCTTTGAGAGTCCGACATATTCTGGTTGCCGTGGGCTTACTCTTAGCTCTGAGCAATGTGGAATCAGCGAACATTCTTCTCTCTGGTCTCTTTGGAGATGGTAGCCATTATTTTACGATGGTTGCAGTCGGAAAGAGTCTGGTGAAGAGAGGTCATAATGTGACCTTCCTCATTTCAGACGAGTATTCCGACCGCGCCATGGATCCCGAGCACGCTACGATCGTCAGCTACGAAATGTTCCATCTTTCTGGTCTGAAGAAGAGAATGGATGACATATCGAATAAGATAGCAGAATTCACATTTGCTGAAAACAGCATGAGGCACATTGCTGAGATGATGGATATGTTCATTTCTGTAAACAGAGAAGCTTGTGAATCTGTTTTCAAAGATCAAAGATTGCTAGACCGTATGGCGAAATTCGATGCTTTTGTCGTCGATGTGGTATAGTCATGTGGTGTGTATATGTTAAGTCCTTTCTTGATAGACATAGAGGTACCAAGAACCTTCATGCCATAGTGCTTGCACCCACGACGCCACTTCCTTATATAATTCAAGAAGCAGGCTCTCCATTTATGACCTCTTACCAACCGGCACCACTGACGTCATTCACATCTGACATGACGTTTTTACAAAGATTCAGGAATACCGTCACCTACCTCTTCTTTGTGTTTTGGGGAAATAAAATGATGATCAATGTATTTTCCACTGGTCTGGCGGATGAATATGATCTAGATCCTCGGTTGAAATCCACCATCAGTAATCATGTTGACCTTTTCCTTATCAATAGTGATTTCTCTGTCGAATTTCCCTTTGCCATGATGCCAAACATCATTCCAGTTGGTGGACTTACAACAAGATCAGCCGAAGCCCTCGACAATGAGTTAGAGAACTTCATGCAATCATCGGGCAAGCACGGTGTCATTCTGTTCTCTCTTGGTTCATATTTTGCCTCAATAACAAAAAGTAGACCCGACATCATTCGCATGTTCATCGACGCTTTCAGTAGACTCCCACACAAAGTTCTTCTTCATTTGAAAGAGCCCCCTCCCAGGGGCGGATCTAGCTTTTTGCTAAGGGGGGGGGGGGGGTTGACCAAAATAATGACGATGCAGAGCATCGTCCACGAGCCGCGAAGCGGCGATCCGATTTTTTTTTTGGGTGTTTATTTGAACCCCGTAAGTGATGTTTTCCTGGCATCTATTAACACAATGGAGACCATAAAAAGCAGTGCATGATAACGTCTTTTTAAATCAAGTAACAGTTTAATACACAGTTATATCCAGAGTTATCATGTGTTTGGTTAAGTTACCAGATGAGTTGAATATCTTCTCACAATATTTGCACTTGAAAGGGTTTCTCTCCAGCGTGCGTTCTTTTTTTCTTTCTTTTTTTTCTTTTTTTCTCCTTTTTTCCTTTTTTTTTTTGGGGCCGCCCAAGGGGGGGGGGGGGGGGGGGTTTAAACCCCCTAACCCCCGTAGATCCGCGCCTGTTATGTCACCCTAACTGTTCCATTTTCTTTTTGTAAGGAAAAGGGGTAAGTTGTAGTATGTGACAATTTAACCATAGTAAAGGGAGCTACATGATGCGCGCGCATATCATTGCCTATCGGTCCGCGCCAATAAACCTCAACCCGAGCAAGACGTGAGTCAATTTATCCTCTCAATATTCCACTTATTATTTTATCCACAATCTACAGTTAGGCCATGCCTCATTACACAACAGTTTTCATTATCAACATACAATCCAATCCAATCCAATCCAATCCAGGAATTTATAAACATCATTATTAAAATAACCATTAGTTATTCATCATTGGGCCAATCTACCAAAATGGAAAAAGAGATGAAGATAAAATAGAAAAATAAAAGATACATGCACATCTTATTATTTAGTTACAACTCACCTTCGTGTAATAAGAGTTTACCCCCCCCTCACATCCCATAGGTTGTATAAGCCAAGTACATCTCAGTTATACCATGGGTTATACCGTGACATCAATATGTATATGGTATAATTCCCTATCATCATTAATACCTTCCAGTAAAAAAAGATGCGAGACTGGATTGCCGCAACTTCTTTGCCCTGTTTGCTTCCATATTGCTTGTCACTACACTCAGACCAGACTGATAAAAAAGTGAGCAACTTGAACAAGTAATCCAGGAAATGAGCAGCCCAGCTCAGCGTGCGTTGCCAGGTTAAATCTTCACAAAATCCCCACCCAAACGACACTTAAAATATCCCCAAAGTTGCCAAATTTTGACAGAAAATCCCCAAATTCGTTTTTCATGAAACTCAATATTATTTTCATTCCCAAATATTTATTTTTCATCCGCAAAGACTTCAACAATCCCCCAATTTTTTTTTTTTTTTAATGTGGGGATTTTGGGGATGAGAATCGGCAACGCTGGCCTAGCTTGTCACTTCGGCGGTGGCCCGTGTCCTCAAAAAAGCTGATGGGGGGGGGGGGGGCAAGGGACTCTGTGACATTTGTTCGCCCAACCCCCCCTCCCCCCAAAAAGAAATAATAATAATAATAATAATAATAATAATAATAATAATAATAATAATAATAAATGAAATAAATACATAGAAATAGAATAAAATAAAATTACAAGTTTAAAAAAAAAGATAAGATTTAAAAAAATGGTCCCCGGATTTTTTTTTTTTTTTGGGGGGGGGGGGGTTGCAACCCCCCCAACCCCCCCCTCTAGATCCGCTTCTGCCTCCATACATGATACCTGATAACATCAAACCGATGAAATGGTTACCCTTGAATGATCTGCTTGGGCATCCTAAGACTCGAGCAGTGTTCTATCATGGGGGAAACTACGGATTCCTGGAGGCGTTGTACCACGGCGTACCCCTTGTCGTTATGCCTCTGGGCGCTGATCAGCATGACGTTGCAGCCAGAGTGCTGGCTCATGGACTTGGTACCAAGATTGACAAAGACCGATTGAGTGCGGATTACATTTACCTACAACTCAACGAAGTCCTTGAGAACACAAGCTATTCAACGAACGCCAAGCGTCTTTCTGCCATCTTTCGTGATCGTCCACTGACACCAGCGAACACGACTGCATTCTGGATTGAACACGTGATCAAACATGGAGGAGGTCACCTTCACCCACCTACTCATAGCCTAGCATTCTTTCAGATATACCTACTTGATATCGCTGCATTTGGTATACTTCTCGTTGTGATCTTATTCTTTATCATTAAACGTTCTATGAGATGGTGTTGCTCTCGAAAGAAAATCGTGAAAAGTAAACGTGATTGACCGTATTTTCATGTAATAGGGATAGTGGTTGTTTTTCGGATTTTTATTGTAAATTTAGCTAAGAGATATATGTATATCATTTTGTTAGGAATGCAAAAGGAAGAAAAATACATAAAGTATATAATTATCAATTAAGAGAGAGAGAGAGAGGATAAAACAAATTATAAATTCATTGGCAACAATTGTCAAGGATGACTGATTTCCATCAAATTATGAAAGAAGAAGAAGGAGATTAGCAAATTAGACAAAATAATGCCAAAGCAAATCCTGAATGAATAATGTATTTTGTAATGCATTTGTATTTCTTTGTACGTCATTCCTTTATTCAAATGAAATTACGCAGCAAAAAGATTGCAGCCTTAATTTTTTTACATTAGCAATATGATTTGAGTGTATTAAAAGCAACAGTACAATATCGTTCGTTTTAATGGAAAAGTTAGACAAAATAAGTGAGAAATACACTCGACTTGCATGTAATAAATTCATGAATCTATGTTATTACTTGAGTATACCAATTTAAAAAAAAAAAGATTTCATAATATTTTTTGATAGCAGAAATATTTTCTGTCCATTTTCTGAGGTCGATAGATCCATTTTCTGAAGATAATGAAGAGTTATATTGCCACATACAATTTTTAGACTAGTAGTTTCATTACATTGTGTAATTAATTCTCACAATATTTCACGTTTTAATTGACAGGCCCATAGTCGATAATTGATGTATTCGTGAAGACCTACAAATTGATTCAATTGATTGCTATTCAGTACACGTTTCATTGGTCCTCCTGAATGAACAGTGTCTTATTATCATGTACGATATCACAAACTATTCCTGCGATTCCTGAAATATTTCATGAAATGTGACATTTTCAAATTTTATTTTCCATGATGAAGGTCCTTCCTTGGTAAATAATTGTTTACCACGTAACCTTGGCTTTTACACTAAAACGATGTATGAAGCTCACATTTATATTTGAATGTTTTGGTGCATGTTTATAGCCTAAAATGTAGGTCTAATTTTATGATTAGCTATTCAATTGCTAAGCACCGATCTTTGATAAGGACCAAGATAAATTTTCTGTTCAACATGACTGAGGCATCTTTTGCAGTTTGCACCTTTTCCAAAAATATTTGTTTTTGATACCTCAAAAAGAAGATTGCCATTGGACGCAAATTGTATTCATTGATTAGCTTATACACGTGATTCACTGTACAAACGTGAAACTTAGTTTAGATAAGAGTGAACGCTTTGATAAATTCTCTCAGGGAAATTTTCAAGGTGAAAATATATGTATAAAGTATATGTTCGAATAGTTTGTTGAGATGTTAAAGTTAATTATTTTTCAGATTCTGACTGAGTTTAATCGAATAAAACGGTCATATTTTTTCGGGACACTAGCCACCACGGTCAAATGTTTACCTCGTATATCATTTTCAAAAAGTAGATATAATTTAAAATTCTTTTAAATCTTCATTTGAGAATATCTATTCGAAAAAGCGTCATAAGAGACAATTAGATTTCAATTATAATTCAATGTGCAAACTTGAAACGATATGATTTTTACTTCTCGAAACATGATCGTCATTATGATAATAAATAATCCCCATCGCCAATCTTCCCCACTCTCTCTTCTACACGTTTTCTGTCTACTTGCCCCTCCCCTTTCGATCTTAAAAATCTCTTACGGCAACATTTTTTTCCTTCATCATGCACTTTCATTATTGCTTTTATAATTCCCATTCAACCATTGGAACGGACAATGACAATAAACTCATTGAATTCACGTGTCTGTTTGTTGTTGCCTGTACAATGTTGTCAACCACTTTATTTTATAGATACAAAATATCATGTAATAAGTTTCAATGTCCGTTACGACGATAATCACATAGAAATCGTTAATGTATAGATTTATCATAAAAACGTATGTACCGGATTATAATGACATGACAAAATCTCAACATTCCTACCACAAAATATACACATCACAGTGCGCAATATCATACAATAGATCAATGAAAGAAAAAAAAATCAAATTAGATTAATATTTTGGAAGTAACTTTAAGTTTTGTTTTGTTTTAAATACGTTTTATGTCTGCTTAGTTATTTCGTTTTAAATCTTGGTTGAAGCCGAGTTGGCAAACCCTCTGAAGTATTTTTTTTAAATAGACTCTTTCTGTTGCTGTTGATAAAATAGCAAAACATGTAAATCGAAGTTATTACCCTCGCCACACAGACTCCTCCTTGCACAGACGAAACAAAACATATTTAACCATGTCCACTGCTTAATAATAACCAAATGTTAAAATACAGCAGTCAGCATTGCATAATTATCTTTGTGTGTAGCGATTTCAGTTCTCCCAAATTCTTCAGATGCTCAAAGCTAAGAATCATGTACATGTACAACGTCATGATCGTTATAGCAACTTTTATATTTTAAATTCTGTTAGATTAAGTATTTTTTGCTTGTTTTACATGATTGATGATTGATTTGATTTTTATTCGACAAGCTTCCAACATATAAAAACATACATGGTCTTTTGTTTCCATCATTCACAGGTGTTACAAATAAATTTTGATAAACATTCAACAAAGATTGATAATAACATACTATAATTGAAAGCTACATAACATTCGACTCATTTGAAAAAAATCAACATCATTACAACGTATTTTAAGATATCACTTCAAAATTACATAATGAATATACATGAGAAAATATACACCTTGAGCATTTAACACCCACGATTTGAAACCCATGTAAAAGACAGACACAAATAAACAAACAAATAATCATACACACTTAGTCTTTAACAAACAAAAAAAACATTAGAGAGAAAAAAAAAGTACAAACACAATCCAAACAAATAAAGAAAATAAAGAGCTTTGTGGCATCCAATAAACAAGTTATGAGCAAAGGCACGCACAGAAAGGTAAACAAGGTCAAAGAAATACATGATTTGAAAGAGACAAAGACTAATACAAAGTTATGGATATAGTGAAGAAACAAAAACGAACAACATTCCCGGTGGATACTATGTACACGAATAGGGCTTTTCTTTTTCCAAAATAACAGGAATTCATAATAAAAAGGGAAGTCCACCTGACATCACCTTGATGTAGAAAATTTAGGAAACGGCGGAATAAAAAAAGAATTAAAAAAAAAGCAATCGATGCAATTGTAAAGTTTTGAGCCCCAAATGTTTTGTCAACTCTAACTGCGATCACTTCTCCATTTGTTTTGTATGGGAAACGTCCCCAGTTTGGATGATAATGTACTTGATTTAGGCCTATGCACATGCAGGAGGGCCTGTAAGAACATGTTTACAACTTCATAATTGCGCCATAGGTATGATAATGAAAATGGCAGGATGATGTTTAATGAAATATTTACATTGTACATTGTACAAATCATACACAGAGTAGCTTTAGAATCGAAAATTTTCAGATTTTTCTAAAACATATAAAGACCAATATATATAATTGTTCTGTTTTCATTGAAATCAGTGAGATTCCTTTCTAATACATACTATAAAGTGAGAGAAATGGAAACACAGACAAAACGAAACATCTCCAAAAAGTCAATAAATGAATCGAGTATTAACGACAAGTTCCATGCCATTAATCGGACAGTGATCTAAAATGCATTGTAGTAGATGAAGAAAAGGAAATTAATTGTATTAAACGGGAATAAATATGAATTCCATTACTAGGATTATAATCTCCGACTGTAAAATAGTACTTGATTGAATTGTGTCAACATCATTTAAACATTTACAACCGCTAGCCTTTAAACAAAATGTAGAGTCGTCATCAACGACAACGTCTTGAAATGAAAACACATCTGAAGGTTGCATTTCTATATTTTTAGAAAATTTCAATCATTCAAATTCATCTACATGATATAGGAATGTCATTTCTGAAACAGTCACGAAAACACCAATTCAAATATAGTAGAAAATATAAATGATTCCACTAGATGTTATAAACAATTTATGTAGTCACAGAAAAACAAGTCCTGGAAGCTTCTGGAAAAAGGTGGCGGGCATGGTTCCATTTTTTAACGAATGAAATATTATGTTAATCTAATTTTCAGCATGTCTGTTGTTACCTTTAAAAATATCCGGTCGCACACATCGCATCCCCCCCCCCCCCTCCTGATATCATACAGTTCAAGTTAGAATGAGTCATCCTTTATTTTCAGTGGAATATATAGAGTCTATCAGGAGTGCAGAAAGCGATCTCTCCTGATCGGTGCTGCTGGAGAGTGTACCACTCTCTCTCATTCTTCTCAATCTCGTAATCAATGACAAGGTTCTGGACATGCTTCAGCTTGTTAGTATACTCATCAATGTTGACCAAACCTAAGTCGTGCTTCACGTTGGCTATCAGGATTGTATTCCATTGAGACACAGCAGCGATGAGATAATCCCATGATTTTGTTAATTGATATTTTACAACACCTTGCTTGTCAATCAATTGTATTGTATTACCAGATTCAGTGATCAGGTAATCATTATAATAAGTAATCCGATAAGGTATATACCCATCACATAGTATCTCCCTGATCGCCTTCCCACCTATTGGTGAGAATACCTGGATCTTTTCAGCAATCCTGTAGCTAACATAGATCTGATCATCACCATCTACAGTGAGGTTAGGTAATTCACCTTCATCGCAACTCAGGGTATCAAACGTTACATTTAACTTTGTGTAGTTTAGTGTGTACAGAGAGAGATTGTTTGAGCAATCAAGTAGAACATACCGATCATCAGAGAGGAACCCTAATCCAAAGATCGGATCATCCTTGAAAACTGTCTGCTGGTGCTGACAATCAGCAGAGAAGATCTCCACGCCGCCTGTCCAACATCCTACTGCCATCCTACCATCTGGTGTACCAACCATGGTATAGCCATGCTATCCTTGGTAGGCAAAGCGATGTTCTTTGCAACTGCATTTACGATCTTACCCAGAGCTTTCTCGTCCACTCCGACGTTCCTCTTGAAACGAACACTTTTTCCTTTCCTGCTCGTTTCCCTCAGCTGCTTGTAGTCAGGATCTTCTTGTTTCAAGGCCTCTTGTAAGTCTTGACATAGAGTGTCGTGTGCAGCCAGAGCATCCATATCTAACGGTATCTTTGTCTTATTGGTTACCACATCAGCTATAGGTGTCAAGTGAGTGATGTGCTCCTGAGCCGATTTCTTCATTTCATCCAGTTCTTTCTTTACTCCTTCGATCCTACCCTTGACCTCACCAATGAGGATTTCTTTCTTCTTTTTCAACTGCCGGACTGATTCTTCATATGCTTTGTTGATATCATCTGTACACTGCTTCTTAACATTGCTCACACGGTCCTTCTGTTCATCAATGAAATCAACGTATTTTTGAAAGCAAGAGCGTTTCTTGTCCGCCTTGGATTTGAGGTCCTCGACGTTCTTTACATGGCTGCTTTCATAAACAGCTGCCTCGATGACCCGATGTCCTTCGTTTGTATGCTCCATGACAACACACCTGAAACAGGCAAATCTCCTGCAGTCGCAACAGAAGCACTCCTCATCCTCTTTGGGGTGTTTTCTGCATTTACGGTATCTACGCACTGACACCTTCCCTGACACGATCTCACTCATTGCTAGGACCTCATGACTTATGAAGTCTTGCCACAGAGAATGTGCACTGTGGCAAGGAATACAGAGATACTTGCCACAGTCTCGACAGTAGACAACAGCTTGGGGCCTGTCCTCGGATTTACAATTAGTGCAAAACTGATGTTGATTCTTCATGTCCTCTATGAGAGACTTCAAAGCCAGATTTGCCGGTAATTTGCTGACTTCTTGGTTTGGGACCTGGGTTTCAGCTCTGCAGACAGGGCATCGGAGCATCTGGTCGTTACCATGGCATCCCAAGAGGTTGTCCAGACAGGCCTTGCAGTAGTTGTGAGAACAAGATAGGATCTTGGGATCGGTGAAGGTATTCAGACACACAGGACACTCAAGATTCTGAGCAATAACATTCTTTAATGTATCAGCCATGGTTCAAATTCTACAGGAACACAAGATGAAAGAAAAGGGGGAAAATGATTAGTGTAGCTTTTATTCATCTGATCGTATAAAAAAGGAGTCTTTATCATTTTCCTCACGCCTTTTCCCTACAGAATATGACGTGTACAAAATATGATTTTCCGTTATATTATGTTGATTTAAAAAAAAATCATGTTATACATCAACTGAATGTACTATGTACGTCGTAATGAAATATGTAACAATCAAACTATTTCCTTTGTCACTCTTCAGATAATGTACATTATAATGGGGGAAATGAAGATGAAAATAATAATTATAATAATGATGATGATGATGGTGATAATAATATCAATTAATATAATGATAATAATTGTAACTACAATGGTGCCTTGTTTACCCAGATCATCATAAATACACACACTGTTTTCCCCGAGGGCCCTGCAATCTTATTACTACCCCGGCTTTAGCTAACCTACCATGAAAATTTGCCTTTAAGCATTCACGGAATTTCTTCCTACCGGGTACCCATTCACACATGGGTCGGGTGGAGAGTGACCAATATAGAGATATGTCTTGCCAAAGCACATTAGTGCCGTGGTGGCCGGGACTCGAACCGCGAACTATGTGATTCACAAACAAACGACCTATCCTCTAGAATAGACCACACCTCTTCATGTATCGCAACTAATCATGCTAGTAGACATTTTTTGAAAATCTGACGTATATAAAATAATACAAATCATAATAATTTTCCACCACTTGAAGCCCATGATTATAGGTAAACTGTGGAAAACCAAACAAATTAAATGTAGTCTACCATTTACATATCGTCACTTTGGCACTGGAAAAATAATCATTACATTATTTCTTAATTTAATCTAGAGCCAAATATTAGAAACTTGTTACCTTTGAACGAAAACAAATATTTGATGTCGTATCAAAAGCAATATATACATGTACTCATGAATACTGGAATATATACTATTAACAAAAAAAATCATCATGTTTGTAAAGAGGAAATTATATAGATTGCTTTGGTTTGGCAGAATCATTAGCTGAAATGTTGGCTTTACTAAGAATCACATACTAACATGAATATTTACCATGTGCATTCAAATCTATTTGTAATTTAAATCACTGCAACGTACCAAAATAGGCGTTTTCCACAGGACAAACGAACAGTAAAAAGTTTTGTCTTGGCCTTAGCACAATCGCTATTCGGTAATGTTATCACCACAAAGACATCTAGACCGAGACCCACATATTTCAGCCAAAGGAAAATTATGATTTTAGGAATCAGTAAACATGTATACTCTTTGCCATTGCAATGTAATGGTTCACTGTTCATAAGTGGTGCTATATACATGTATGTATTCAGTCTCTAGGTCTATTTTTAGTAACTGGGAATTCCCAGCAACCTTTGACATACAAGCAGATTGAGATTTTTATCGTCCAAAAAGTGATCGCCCATTAAAATCTCGACCTCATTTTGTCGAGCGTCTGTCGAGCAAATATATACCAGTGTGCTTTATATTACTGTTACCCCCCCCCCCACCATTACAAAAGATTCTAAATTTCGAGTCATATTACTGTTGCCAAAGTATCGTGAAACGGTTCTCCTTTGAGATAACATTTGGAATGTCGAAGATGGCGGTAAACGTGCTAAATAGATATCCGGCCGGAAAGATGAAAAGTATAAAATATATTTGATCTTATACTAAAAAAACTGGATCAACCATCATCTGGTTGAAAGAGCTAAGAAGTTGTTCGATCACTTATAGTTTAGAGAATGGTTTAGGGGCCATTTTGCCTTAATACCATAGCCCCACATTACAAGGGGCTGAGGGGGCTGCAGCAATCCCTCCCCCACAAGTTTTAACATTTGAAATAACATATTCGGGCACGTGCAGCCACCACTCGATTATGACAGGTGAATACTATTTAAACACCCTAGTATCCTTTTTATTTTGGTGATATCTTATTTCTGTCCAGATGTTTAAAAAAATACTGCAATTCAATTTAATTCAATTTAAAGTAACATTTATTTTCTTTCATGCTTTCATTAGTTTTCACATCAGCAAAATAATTATGTGAGCAAATGTATACATAAATAATGATAAAAGCAATTTTAAGAGCATGATGAAGGTTTAGTGAAGCATTGATTCATCTGTTCGTATTAAAGGGCCACTCTAACCAAAACGGGCTCAAAAATGAAAAAAAGACAAGTAGAATAATTTTTTACGGACATTCCGAACATGATAATGATTTTTCTTAGAAATCATCAATAATTCTGGAATCTAGCTTTAAGAGAACGCCTAGGAAAAAAAGCCCAGTTTTGATGAGGCGCCTCTCGGATGAACAGGAGGTTGATTTAGGCTTTTAAATGTCTTTAAAAAGGCAAACTATGATATTAATTGGGGAAAAATACATTTATCCGAAAAATAATATGCACTTGATAATCCAGTACGTTTCTGGCAATTTCGTAATTCCTAATTATGAAATTATCAAATTATCAAATCGGACATACCCGTAATGACGTCAAATGCGTCATCAAGCCACGTGACAGTATTACCTTTTTTACGAGGGGTGTAGCCCAGCAAGAGTGAGAACTCTGAAAAACGATGGTTATTATCACTTTTTGGTCAATTTATAGATTTTCTGAAAAATCAGAGCCTGGAATATTAATAAGTAGGGGTGTGTTCAAGTTTTGAAAGGCTATGTTAGTTGGTTTAGAGTGGCCCTTTAAAGAGGAGTGTTTATCATTTTCCTCACGCCTTCCCCTACATCATAACAACGCGTCCGAAATATGATATTCCCTTATATCTTGATGAGAGATATATATATATATATACACATGCCAATAAAATGGCAAGACTGGCATTATAACACTTTGTGACTATTTTTCCTTAAATCTGGAAGTTGATTATCGAGCAAGACTTTACCTCCCCCTTGCACCCTTACCCGCCTGTCGACAAAATTGGTCCGTACCCTTAAACTTTCTGTGAATCCCCCAAATACTCTTATATCTGGCATAAAGCATTTTAAGTGCGGCTTTAGGGATTCTCGGGCTTGAATTTTAGTCCATGTGTAGAAGCCACAGAGTTCTCTTTCTCCGTTCTGTATCATTTCTTGCTTTAACAAAATGAAATTATTACTAAGGATGGATTGCCCTTTCTTGCACAAGGCTCTTTCAAAATGTGCGATAAGTAAGATTCAGAAAGAGTTCGATGTGAATCAATATTAAAAGTAATTAATACAAGTATTTACAATACCTCATGAAAGTTTGGGTGGCTACCGTACTGCTGAATATTGTCTAATGTCCAGAAAACAGGAAAATGATCTACATGCATGTAGTAAGGAGAAAGATTCAAAGTCGTGCTAAATTTTGAGGAAGATTGAATAGACATTATATCTGCATGAGAAACCGGAGTACATTTCATATAGCAACATTTTAAAGATCTGTGAGGTCGCAGTACGAAAAACTATATCTTATAAAGAGGGGGGGGGGGGGGGGAAACAATTCTGATGGGGTTTTAAGCACAATATAACCACGAAAGACTGAAAAGATATTTAAGAAGAAATTTATTTATATCAACTTTAAATGCGAGTGAGCGTAGCGACCAAGCTTTGGGCGAAATTAATGGAACAAAATTGCTTTTAGCTGCTTTAAATTATGAGCACATTTTATGGTAAAAGGAAAAAGGGGCACATATCCAAAGGGAAAATGGCACTTATTATGAAGAATAAGGGACCACGTGTCAAAATAACAGGGGCTCTTATCAGAGATGGAAACGGGCATTTATTACAAAGTTAAAGGGATCATCTCTCAAATTTGACTCAGGGCACTCACTAGAGATGAAAAGGGGCACTTATAGGAATAAAAAGAGGCACTTGTCAACATATCTGGGACCCCTCTCAGATTTGAAATGGGGCAATTACAAGAAGTGAATAGGCACTTATGAGAGACGGTAAGGAGCACTTATTGTACCTGAAAAGGGGCTCTCACCTGAGATGAATAGGCTTGTGAGAAAAGAAAGAGGCAATTATTACAAAGGAAAATTGGGGCTTGTCGTAGGAAAAGGGGCACCTTTGCGATTTTGATAGAGTAGTTATCAAAGGTGTGAGTAGGGGCATTTATCAGAATGGGAGATGGCTCTTTAAAAAAAGGGCGTTTATAGGAAAAAAAGGGCACTCATAAGAAAGCAAAAACAGGGGGGGGGCACGTGTCAAAATGAAAGGCGGCATTACAGAGGTGAGAAGGGGCACTCATCAAGAATAAAAAGGGGTACTTATCTGAAGAGGAAGGGTCACTTATAACAAAAGAAAAGGGCTCTTGTTAAAGTAAAATGGGTATCTCCCAGATTTGAGTAGGGCAATTATTTGAAGTAAAAGGGGCACCTTTCCTATGTAAAAAGAGGCATTTTAAGTTGTTTTTGCCCGACTACAAATTTGGGAATTCATCGTTTTTCAACAAACGCATACAAAAGTAAAAATTATTTTTAAAAAAAGTGAGAACCCCCCCCCCCCCCCCTCGGAAAATCATGTCATTTCAGCAACATTTGTAAATCACTGTTATCGAATTAGAAATAAACCACGTTTGAATTTTATTGGGGGTGGGGGAAAAATGACATTTCCATATGTTTTGTACAAAAATCACAAAAATGAGCGATTTTCGCTCGAAAGAAAAAAGTCGTTCCCGAGCAATCGGAAAAATCGTGGAGGGGGGGGGGGGGGAGGGCATAATGGCCCCCGGCCATATTAGGGTTAATAATCAAAATTATTTAAAAAAACAGTCAGCATTGCATAATTATCTTTGTGTATAGCGATTTCAGTTCCCCTACATTCTTCAGATGCTTAAAGTTAATAATCAAATACATGTACATAACGTCCTAGTGGTTATAGTAGCTTTTATATTTCATATTCTGTTAGATTAAGTACACGCAATGGCACGCGCAGAAAGGTAAAAAAGGTCAAAGAAATACATGATTTGAAAGAGACAAAGACTTATA